GGCGCTTGAAACGGAGAAACGTTGCTAAAATCTGAACTCTCATTCCATTGATTGGATATAACTTAAAAACCGGACATATGACAAGTCCGGTTTGACTTATTAACCGGACACTGGACAAGACTTCTGAAAACCTCTGACAGTCCGGGTCAAAACAACGGGCAGTTGGCAACCCTAGTCCTACCGCGTTTACGAGAACAAGAGATGCTTTGCGCGAAGCTTACCTCGCGCCGCACTCGGCATAGATTCGGTTATTTTCTCGCTCTCACTGTCTGCACGTCGAAGCTTTCGTGTTACGTCCGCGGTTGTAACGCGGTTTATCAGCTCGAGCGATCGGGCTGAGAGCGGCTGAGGCAGCGACGAAGTTGTAAGCTGCAGCAATTTTCATTAGTTCGGAGCACGTCGCACCGGCGCGGCGGCGGACGGGAAGAGTTCGCGTCGCGCGGACCCGCGAATTTTCGTTGCATATGAAAGTGTGTTTCGCATCGGCCGCTTCTCCTCCGAGGAGACAATGTTGGCGAGCTCGCGCGCGTTTCCTATAGCGTATTCTCGCGTTCCCACGGCACTCCAATAATTCGCGACCGAGTCTCTCTTTGTGGTATTCGGCTTATTAGATTCTTGGTCGCCTCTGAGACAAAATATGCGGGGCCCACGTTTCGACCGGCACGCGCCGAATCCGCCGGCAGATTCCGCGTAATTTACGTGGAAAATACTGAAATAGCGCGGGCCATTGTTTTCGGTCGTTGCGCGCATTCGGCGAGTGATTAACGACGCTCGCCGATGTGCTTGGGGCCGCGTTCTCCCGCGCCCTCCCTCGCTTCCTCGCATTTCTCGATGATCGAAATTAGCCCCGCGAGCTGCAATCGCCGCGAAACGTCGGGTTTATCGCGGCATCGCTGAAATTTTTTGTTCCACGCCGTGCAACGCGCGTTATAGCGGAGGAATGAAGGACGATTAACGTCATGGAGGGGGGGAGGGGACGCGTATCAATAATTTTCGAAAATATTTCTCGAATAATTTCCGCCGCGCGTTCTCTCTCCTCGAATCCCTTGGGCTGTAACGATTTCCCGCGGGGAACATCGCTTCGTTTTTTTTCTTTTTCCCGTTGCTTTCGGCGCGCGAACAGCGCCGAGTGGAGTACCGCGGTGTAATAGCGAGATAGTCTCGATTGGAAAAAGAGACAGATCGAGGACGAAACGGTTCGTCCGGCGAAGCGTTTCCTCCTGCGTCAGGAAGTCGAACGGCGACAATCGAGAAACTTGGCGCAAAGTGCACCTGCGCCAACTTTTCAGCGTTTACTGTCGCTCGACGACAACACGATCGCTCCTCGCGGGAGCGAATTTCGCCACCGTAGGCTAAAACGCCCGAGACGCAAACTCTCCTGGGCTAATAGCCATTACTTTTTTATACGTTTTCGGGGCTGTCGGGGGGGAAGGAAGGTAAAGACGACGGCGGACTTACGAGGATGGGAGTGTATTTTGTCGCGACGCTGCTGTCTCGAACGAAACGATTAAAGTTCGTGGCGCTCGTCATAGCGCAAATAACGGGTGACGTCGCCCGGTTCGGTCGTTGATCTTTCTCCCAAGCGTGTTCGTATACACCTTTTGCCAACCGCCATCGTTCACCGTTGTTGCTTTGTAAGTTGCGTGTAGCAAGTCCAGCACACTCGCATTTGAAAAATCACATCGATTCTTGGCACGCGCTTCTTCGAAAACTCGGGAACATCAGCAGGTTCGAGCGTGAATTAATTTATTCTTAAGTGCGCGAGAACTTGAGCTGTAGTCGCTCTAAATTCACATTAATTATGTAATTGCATACTTGTCAAACTCAACTGAGTTTGATAAACTTCAGCGCTCCTTCGACAATAACATCGGAATGAACTCTCACAATGATTTCATTCGTCTATAATAACTTGGATAGCATCTTCTCTTTTACTTATATCTGTAATGCTTTTAGAAAGTTAAACCTTTGAAAACAGAGATAATAAACGCTCCTTTGCCCCTCTCTCTCTCTCTCTCTCTCTCTCTCTCTCTCTCTCGGTAGATTTCCAAAGAGAGGTATCTACGCGCTCTGTCGCGCGTTCTCCTTTTTCTACTTTTTTATTGCTCAGGTGCTAAAACCGGTCGTTAAACTCGCGAATGAGTGTGGAGGAGCTCTCGGTTTCACGAGGCTTGTCGATGAAACGAGTGTACGCCTCGCATGTACACGTGTATGGGGCGAATGTAGATTGCTGCGGCAAGAAACGCGCGACATGCGCGCGACACAGTTCGCGCTTGTGAAATTTTGTAGCGTAAAAGCCCGTACACGAAGGTGTGTTTACAAGCGCGCACAGTTGACAGGAAGCGGCACATTTGCCGCTTGCACCTCGTATTTTCGGAATCAATTTCCGCGGGGGAAAGGGAGATGGTCGCGAAGAGACCAGAAGATGGTCTGTATCTATCGGGGTACACTTTGTTGCGACGTCCCTCTTCATCGCGTAAGATTATCCCGAGGAAGATGGAGGAAAGCGTGCTCGAGCGCTTCTTCCTCCTCATCCTCTTCCCTCTGCTCCCCCTCCTCCTCCTCCTCCTTCTTCTCATCTTCTCCTCTCATGCGCTGTACCACCAAGATAAACGACTAAACTATAAGTTACATGAAAATGTATAAATTCCAGGCAGACGAGGCCTGTTCGTTTCGGGGCGGAAAACACGAGGGATATGATCATTCTTCGACAACAGGCACTTAATCAAGGTCGCTTCAGGCTGGACAAGGGTGGGTGAAAGGCGGGACGAGCCCAGGAGCTTAGGCTAGGTGGCAGGCTCGGGGGGGGGGGGAGGGTTGCCGGACCGAGCGAGACCTTAATTTCCTGTAGCACTACGGTTTATCTCTTCCGCGATTTATCGACTCCCTCGAAAGTTTCGCGTTTGCGATTCGGGCGAACCCTCGTCGAACGCTAGTTCGGCCTTCTTGCCTGCTCGCTGTTGCGTCGCCGATCGATCAGCTCGCTGCTAGGCCGAGAGAGAGAATTTCAGGGCGTGCTCTTCTCCTTTCCCTTCTCGCGTCTCTCTCTCTCTCTCTCTCTCTCTCTCCCCCTCCCCCCCTTTCTCCCCTTCTCATCCTCGCCCACTCTTGCTCTCGTTTTTTTTGCAATATGTTGTTCGCAGTAAACGGTTTTATTTGGATGCCGCGATCTTTTGAAGTGTTTCAACTAGAACCACGATGCATCACGGAGCCAACGAGCTACGTTGAAATCGCCAGCAGAGATGTTTCCGGTGGCTAGCGAAGCGTTACTCGCGCTCGCTGGCTTGCGCGCGCGCGCGCGCGCGCGCTTGCTCGCTTTTAAATGTATTATTGGCTTTACAACTCGTAGATTCAACGGGAACGTAATTACGCAACTCGCCTTGATATTTAATTAAACGCGCCAATAAAGCCATTTGCAAGGAAAAACTTGTCGGCCGTGATGACAGTTGGGAAATGCAAATTTGCAGTACAATCGTGCGCTCGTTCACGCAACGCGCTCGCGCTCGCGTACGCATCGGCGCGACGCATTTGAAGTAATCGCATTTGCGGGCCTTTTCGCGCATGGACGACACTATTTTCTTCGGGAGTTATTTCACACGAGCGTGCGCCCGGGAGCTGCCGCCGCCGCCGCACGCGCGATTGTTCGACGCGCTGCGCCGGAAATGCCGCGGACATTATCCGGCGCGCGCGAAACTTTTCAATCAGCCCTCCGAGTCTCCGATTCACACTGCGGGGGGCGGGAGAGGGGCGGGGGTACAGCCCTGAAGTTTCGACGCAAACTTCGACGAGGCGTCAACCCCGCCGATGCGGCGCATTTGACATTCGCCTATCCTTGACTGCCGAGGCTCTTCTCTTCGTGGATATCGAGACACGAGCGAGGTAAATCGAAGTCGGCCACTTACGAACGGACACTCCCTGCTAATTTCCGCCGGCAAATATCCCAATTCCGGTCGCGCGCGTCCCGCCTGGCTCTCCCTCTTTCTCTGCGCCGTAGCCGGCGCCCCGGCTCTTTTCCATCTCATTCCATCCATACCGTTGCCGGACGTCCGAGACATTTCCCGCCGATGTTTCGCGCACGATTCGCATGTGCGCCGAGGGACGCGGGAGTTAATTGCCACGGCTAATTCGCGATTAATCCGTCAAGATGGGTTATCGATTTCTGAGCCGATCGAACCGAAGTTCCCGAATCGAGAGGACGCGTTATTAACTTAACGTTACGTCACGCCCGACTCTCAACGAACGTCGCTCGTTCGGCGCTGTTTTCGTTTTTAATCCGCCGCTGGGATCGCCGAGTCCCAGCATTTCCTGCGTCGAGCTGTCCGGCGTAAGAAAGCTTTGACAATATCCACCATCAGGATTCCTCTCGCGTCCGCGGTGATCCTTAGACCGCGCGAGAAGAGCTTTATTGTGCGAACGAGGAGGACTGTAACGGGAGTACGGCACTGACGACGTAACTACCGTTATCGTCGTAAATTGTCACCGTCGAACCAAGGGTGGGTGGGAGGGAGGGAGAGGAGTCGTTCTCCTGCTTGCTACGGCTTCCTCTCGCGATGCATTCGTCGTGATATCTTGTTTGTTCCCGTCGTAGGGCTCCCGAGATGTTTGGTGCCTCTGAACCTTATTGTATACGTGATTCAAAAGGATGTCGTTCTTGAAAACTTTAGCGACAGGTCTTTTTTCTGTGAAGTTTACGTTTCGTATATCGCTAGCACGGAATTACAAACGCTTCTGCGTAAGAAGATATAAAATATATATCTGCGAGAAATACCCAGAAGATCAAACGACCGTCTCTACGTTACGGACATTTTGGAGTTTGTTGTCGAATTTGGCATTTCCATCGTTCGCTTCGAGCCATTCGTTTGCATATACATTTATTTTCACGCATTATGTTATCGGCATTCCAATTCTGTCACTTGCCCTCTTTTATCAATTTCAGCTTGCTGATTACGTGCGGTCGGAGTCTTCACTTATTAATATTCCTCCTGCACTGGTTTTTGTTGCAGATACGTGACTGGCTCACGGTCGAGGAAGAGATGTTGCGACAACAAGCCGTGGTCGTCGGCGACATCGACGAAATCATGCATCTTCTTGACAAACAGAAGGTGAGTCCACTTGAAATTCAATTCTTCGTGTATTCGGCGAAAGATGTCTCCCGAATAAGTATCGATCGAGCCGTTAGCTTTGATTTTTTTTCCGCTGACAGAAAAAGCTGCAAGTAACGGGGAAATCATTTATTTACATGTTGAAAAGTTGCAAGATGAGTGCGCGATAAAGTCGGAAGTATTCGTAGCGTAGCAGTAGCAGCAGCAGCTCGTCTCTGCGTTATTTATGCTCTCATTAGTCGCACGCGTATTTCGCCGAGCCGCTCCAAATGCAAAGATTCCGAACGCGAAGGACTCGTGAATTGCCAAAGAGTTGCCATGCCTTTGAAGTTTATCGCAATTCGCCCGTGCGGAGCTCCAAAAGCCGGCCCGGCAACGAGGTGGCTCATGCTTGTTGTCGAAAGCTCGCCTACTGGCTTTTGTTCCCATTTTATTTTACTTCTCTTTTTTCCCCCTCTTCTCGCGCAACGAATGACCTGCGCCGGCGAAAGTGGCGGTCACGAAATTAAACCACGGGCGTTTTTATTCGTTTCTCGCTCGCTCGTCGTTTTCGCTGCGCCGTTCCTCCAGTGCCTCGCGAGCATTTTGGAAACGCTGTCTCGCGATCTTTATCAGTCGCCGATCTCCTCGAGCGTCGAATCCGCGCGATATCGCGATTGCTCTTCACCGTCTTGTCTCGTACCTTGCGAGCGAACGGCAGAGAGCTAAAAGCTCCAGCGTCGGTAACCTCGCGGTCTGTCACAACTGTGTGCAGTCGATATTTCAACCCTCGGGGTCGTCTGTGCTCACTGCGGGGGTAAACATCCCTCGTTCGGCTACTCTCGAGCTCGCTGATATCGTGAGCGGAAACGTTATCAGCGAACGGTGACGATAACGGGAGGAGCCCAAGGATCGTCGACGACCCCGGCGGAGGTCGGCGATGAGCGACGCCGCTAGGACGAGTTTCCCTGTTGCGATTGTAGAGGTGTGTACGCGGGTAACTGACCGGGAAAACCCTGACATTGGCATTGGCATTAAGGGTCCGATGAACGGCTGCCACGCCTTGCTCCGCGCACGTCGACGTCGTGCCGCTCGTTATTCCGCCATGGTTGTTAATTGCATTGGTCTTAATGGATCAATAGCTGGAGAATCGCGGACGACACGGGGCATCACTTTATAGACAGATATAGCGGATTCGGCCGCGAATAAATTCATCTGATCGGGGCGACGGCTCTTTTTCCCTTGAAATGTCCGTTAATGTCGTTATACGCGGCTTTAATGCGCGCATTAAATGGATATCGGGTGAAATTTCTGGATAAAGGAAGCATTTACAGACGCGTGATGTTGCTTTATTTTATTATTACTGCCAACGCTGGCACTTTGTGTGTCATGCGATAAAATACACGCGATATAGAGGAGCCACGCTGCAAATACGAGCGGAAATTTGCGAAAATGGACGTTCCGGAGATAGAAACGTCACATACAAGAAAATTTGATAAACAGAGGCGGTCTTGACGCGTATAAATCTACTTCTGAAATTTATCCGTGTAATGAGAGAAAGAACATCTGAAAAATAACAAATATTCATTCAGTGTGTACTAATAACACATTTACTCAAATCTCAAATCTAAATTTATTCATGTAAATAGAATAAGCAATCGGTTTGATGAAAGCTATGGTTTCAAGAAAATGCATATGTTCTCGTTTGAAGATAATTTTTCCGCAGTGTAAAAATGTGAATACACGTGTGAATATTTTATCACTACTCACCGGATAAGTATCTTTCACCTTTTAGATATTTTTTCTCTCATTCATCGCACGATGACTCTCATTGGACTCTTCAAATCTTCTTTTATTGCCAATGATAATATGCTTTATATTTATTATTCGTATAGTTGAACAAACTCCTGAACGATCGTGGTATTGTACTGATAACAATAATATTTTCAACATTCAAGAATGGAGGACTATGCAAAATGACGAGCACTTGTTCGACGTATGTTACGCGTGTTTCTGTCGACATCGTGTTCGCGGAAAGCTGACATGTGTTTGTTTGATTTTATTTTCCGTAACGCCTATCAGTGCCCTCGATAAAACGTGATAAATCTCTTTCGCATCATACACGGGGAACACTTTAATTACAAAGTTAATTAAGAAATTGCACACTCGACGTAACGAGCTGTTTCGTCCCTGTAACGCTCCACCATCGCGCGACGCGCGGAGGAGGGAGTCTCGTGTTACCCTCTATGATTATAGGGAATTGTAAAACTAACCTCCGTCGGCGGGGGGGAGTTCGAGTGGATCGTAAAAATAACGGCAGCACGCGGCGCACGCGGTGTGCTGTGCCTGTTTCGAGTTCTTATCGTAAAAAAAAAAAAAAAACTTACGCGCTACCGAGATGTTTCTACGTTTTCACCCTTACCCCTTCCCCTCCCAGCCCCCTTAGCCCTCAGTAGCGCCGGTGGCCCATGAAAAACTTTACCACGCGAATAATACGAGAGTTTATCGTAAATTCAGCCCTCGCTCACGGGTACCGAGGTACAAGAAAGGGAGAGAGAGAATGAGACAGTAAGTACATTATTGCACGCCCCACCCCCCGTCCCAAGCGCCTCGCGCATTACGTCGTGGAAATTTACAGCGTCAGCTTCGAGGATCTGACGTTTCCCGAGTTGCATTCTTTCGCAGACGCGCAGAACCCATTATAAATTTCAGAGGTCCTCGGTACTAACGCCGCCTCCGCCTTCGCTTCTGTCGCCGCCGCCGCCGCCGCTTTTTCAAATCCGCGTCGAGTATTTTTCGCTCGGTTTACCCCGACGCGTAATGGCGATTTCAGCGGGCGACAGCCGAGAGTTTTATCTTCGTTCCATTATGACGCAAAGGCGCCGCGGAAAAATCGACGCGATAAGATTTCTCCTCGGACGAGAATTCTTTCATCGTTCGAACGGAAGCGAGATCATTTTTTCTCGTCGTCGTCGTCGTCGTCGTCGTTGTCGTCGTCGTCGTCGTCGTCGTGACACGCATCGGACACGCGTCGCCGAGACGAATGGCGCGCTTGATTGATCAACGACATCGTATTCCGATAAATCACACGAATCATACGGTATTCTTTCCGCTCGCACACTTCGGAACACGGAGCTCGCGCTGCCACTCGAGAATCGAGAGTTTTCGGACGCGTTTGCAGAGGGTGACCGAAACAATGGGAACAATAGGTTTGTTACGGTGGTGTGTTGTTATTGATTTCCGATCGGCCAGGAGAGAAGCTGAGAGTAAGAGATATTTTGACGCGTGCAAGGCGCGCTCGATGAAGAAGAAGGGGGGTTTCATCGACGACGGCCAGGTTCGTTGACCAAATCTCGGTATCGTTGGTGACTTTTCGGACTTATTCGGTTTGATAAGGACCAGATTTGTTGTTAATATCGGTGCCGCATTGACGACGGATTCGCATGACATTTAGATGTGTCGTGTGTATTGCTTGCATAAATTATTCCGGTGAAGTCAGCCCGGCCGGCTAATTACACATTCGGGAAAGTCTCACGGCGCTGAAGCGGCGAATTTGCTCGAAGTCATGTTAACGTCTCGTTTCGAATCATGTTTACGGTTGTACTCGACATAATTGCCACAGTAGATCGCTAGTCTCTCTCTCTCTCTCTTTCTCTCTCTCTCTCTCTATCTCTCTTTCTCTCTCTCTCTCTCTCTCTCTCTCTCTCTCGCCCTTTTGAGCTTGCATCAGTTCGCTCATTGCACCGTTAACATTACATGAATCATTGTCGTCATCTGCTATATAACAGCCTTCGGTTGACGAGGCCCAATTACGGAATTCCACCTGTACGTTGGCGCGAAATGTGCTTTTAGTCACTCGAGAAGCATCCGCGTTTCGAGCATGCACACGTCGAATTTTTTTTCTATGGGACGGAGTAATTAACGAGAACGTTGGCGTATGAACGAGCGTGACATGTATACACGTGTTTTGGCGTTCTACATTATAAATATCAACTGGCCGGATTTCACTCCAGCCGAATTTGGTTCTGCATTAATCCCACAAATGCTGTTGAACTTCAATGATGAATGAGAAGTCACAATATGACATTGCGTAAGTATAACAGTCCTTGATGCCAAAAATCTGCTGTTATCTGCTGTTAAATTGTACATGTTGAATTTTAAAGAGAGAATTATTCCAGGATTATTTAATATTTGACGATCTTCATTTTATTTTATCTGCATTTATCATTTTTATTCTCGATTTCAATAAGAGATGCGTTAATGATATAATTTACTCATTTGCAAACGTAATATGTGCGGTAAGTAAATACGAAATAATTCATACGGTTTAATAGTGGATTTTATGAGTGAATAAAATTACAAACTTTCCTCGCAATCTCTATATCGTTTTTTTTCCATCCGTGTTGCAAGTTTCAATAAAATTTTGAAATATTCAAAAGAGACGTGAAAAAGAAAAAGTTACAACTTTTACAGTCAATTGACGTTCTACGTAGGCAGTCTGAAAAGTTCTCGACTTGACACATACATGGCATTAGAAACTGTCAAACTATAATTGTATTGGAAAGTGGCATCCCTGATATAAACCTACGTAAAATTTTATTCGATCTGTCAAATCATTCGAGTAGTAGCACCAGTTGAAAAAGCTTTGTGCAAGATGGATGCCGCATTTGCTAACAATTGACTAAAAATGCATTTGAATGCGTATTTCTCAAGCGTTTAGCATATTTTAATCGTTTTAAGCAAAATAAAATGGATTTTAAGCGTTGTTTCATAATCCACCACTATACACCAGAGTGAAAAAAACCTTCCGGAATCACACCTTAATGATGGTATTGAATTATTGGAAAGACGTCGGAATAAATGTATTGAAGTTTCAGGAGATTATATTGAAAAATAAAACATATTTCACGGCAAAAAAAATTTTCTTTCATTGTTAGGCCGAGAACTTTTCAGACTGCCCTCGTACGTCCTGTATTTTGTCCTGGTTCTTTCAGCTCCTGGTTGCTATCGTGGCTAGATAC